AGTGCCGATCGGTCGGTTCTGCCAAAGGAAAGAAGAAGAAAAAGTAGATGACGATGACGATGACGGCGATGATGAACAGGAACGAAGACCAAAGGGGACACGATCTGAGAAAATGGTACGAAACAATTTTGATTTTTAACTTTAGTCCATTTATCTTCTTTCTCGATCGTCTATTATTCCATTATTTCGAGGACAGTTCGATCAGTAACATCACGCGATATACTATACTCGTCTTCCTCGATTGATTTCTTCTCCTTAGTAAACCTCAAACACTTTGTCACTTTCTATCTTATGTATTATCAGTCCAACTCGACAAAATAATTCACTCGATATTCGTTTTAACTTTATTTAAATCGTCGCAAAAGGCAAAGAGGACACACAGAAATGCACAAACGTTTACATAGTCGAACTAGAAACGAATCACACAAGTATCCTCGGAGTTTCCAGGGTTTATCGTTCTACGATTCGACTCGTGTCCGCTCAACGACGCGACTGTTCGTTCAACACACGAGGTTCTCGTCTCGAGCCGCGCACCGATTTCCACCGATGATCCCCACCACCTATCACCTCGACTCCCCACTCCTCTGGTACTTCCCCTTCGCCGCCGCCGCCACCACCGCCGCCGCCGCCGCCGCCACCACCACCACCACCACCACCACCGCCACAACTTCTCTGCTGCTCAACGTCTCGTCCCGGCGTGTGTTTCGTCACGGCGCGCCGATACACCGACCGCGGCATACTAAACACACAAGGAAGATTGTTAAACATGGCCGCCGTCGCCGCCGACACGGCGCCGCTTCCGGCGCTCACCGCTCGAGGCGCCACCGTCGACGCCACACACCGTCGGCGCCGTCGATCCTAATACACTACGAGATATATCGCAAGATTTTTTTCCCCTACGTTCCTCTCGAAACTAATGACTTTCATCACGGCTTTTATGCGCCTTAAAACTTTCTCCGTTTATTAATATCGCAACAACGCTGATATATACTAACGTTATACCTATGTTATTAAGAATTAATCATTATGATGATTTCTATCCAATGATCATTCATCTTAATCGTGATCAACGAAAAAACTTTTTATCATTGTTATTATCGTCATTAAAATGTGTATAGAAAATTTCCTGTCATTTCCGATGAATACTCTAGGAAAGTTTCGATAGATAATTTGCGACGAACGGAAAGATTAATAGATACGTCGGCATCTAATGTAGCCTGGTTGATCGGACAGAGAGACAGAGAGAGAGAGAGAGAGAGAAAAGAGAGAAAGATAGAGACAGAGAAATGGGAAACCAACACAGCGGCTCGGTCGACGCTACTTCAACGACGATCTAAAGTGGAAAAGAAGTGGGAAGAAGGGTAAAAAGGGAAAGAGGGGAGAGGTAGAAACGCAAGATGGACTCGTCCGAAGAGAGACGGGTGCCTCGGTCAGACTGGCTCGTTCGTGGTTCCTCTATCGGCTGAGCCGGGCAGACGCCAGCGCCTCCGCGTGGCGCCAGTACCGATCATTATGGAGTGGTTTCACCCCGGGGGTCGACATTCCGGGGCGAATTTCGGTCACGATGTCTCTCTGCTGAGGAAGACGACTTAAGACAAGCTCGCACTTTCGACGACAAAGGAATTGCAATTGAACATGCCAAAATCGAATCTTGTCTAACAAATGCCAATTATCCTAATGCATAAGTACACATATATATATATATACTCCTACTTTTCCTTCAATCTTTTCGTAGTGTCCAGTCGACTCGACAAAACTTTCGGCCCTTCGCTTACGCCATTTTCTTAGACACAAACTTGTAACTTGGTCTTCTTCTTGTACTCGTCCACATTGGCGTGGTCACCAAGGGAAAGTTTCGTAGAATCAACGCACGCAAATCCCAATGGTATATAATATATATAATATATATATATATATATATATATATATGTGTATGTCTGTATATATGTATGTATGTATGTATGTGTACATATATGTGTTTATGTTTCATTCACACAGAATAGTAATAAACCGGTTCATTAATGCCTACGGAACCGACTACCAAATGTTTCATTCAATGCCGAAAGAAGCTGAAGTGAAATTCAGGCAAGAGACTCTTCCTTATCTGATATAAAATAATTTTACTCACAGACAATATATTCGCAAGGTGTATATCGCTATCTTTGACAACACGTATGTACTCTCATTACATAGTCCAATCTGAAAAAAGAAAAGTTTTTGGTCAGTATTATTTGATCAATCATATATTATGTATGAAATTAATGAAATTGATATAATTAGATTAGGATAACGTGTACGAGGATATAACGCGTTTGGATTTTGATTGGAAGGATAGGCTTGCAAAATCTTCCTGTCTCGAAGACATATATAATAACCTTCGATATCCTCGAAAGAAATGCCGATACGCTCTTTAATCCCAAACCCGCCTTTGGAAGAGAGCAGGTATGCGCCGGACCAGGCAGAAATTAGGAGAAACGCTAAAAAAGGATCCCGAGTGGCATACCACTGCACGGTCGTGCGATCGTCGCTCATAAATTGTCTAATTTTAGAAACTCGTTTCGCGATTTCGTGGACGTAATATTGTAATAAGCCGACGTGACTTTCCTCTATGGTATTCCAAAAGACAAATTTATAATGGTATTCTATACTAACTATCATCCTGGGCTTAATAATCGATTATAAAAAATTTTTAACAAAAAAAAAAAATTACGATAATGATGAAAAAAAAAAATGTTGCAAATATGGCATTGTTTAAAACATAACGCTCAAAGAAAAGAGATATAGTGCATTACGTTAAAAAAAAGAGAGAGAGAGAAAGAGTGAGAGAGAGAGAGAGAGAGAGAGAGAGAGAGAGAGAGAGAGAGAGAAAGAAGGGTAAGTGCACGCCTACTCGCATCGGAACTCGTTCTCCCCACCCGTTCCCCAACCCTCCCGACTCCCGAGCGTCGTCTAGACGCGTTATTTCGTCCGTTCGAAGGCCCGTTCCTAAATGATATAGAATTTAGGAAGTTATTTAGTTATGTACGTCTGGCGTCCGGAGCTGGCTAGTAATCAGGCGCCTGGCCTCCGCAAACTGTCCCTCGCTCTTTCTCCTTTCCACTCTCACCGATATAATATGTATATATTATATATATACAAACACAAACACACCTACATGTACATGTATATGTGTGTGTATATATATATATATATATATATACATATTATACGTATATGTTACGTCTTCTGCACACGTCTAGACGGCACCATGAAGCTCGGTAAAATTCTCCAGGGCCGTCCAATTTCTTGGTGCCTTGATCGAATTAAACCCGTCGATAATGTTATCCTTTTCTCTCTTTCTTCCGCATCAAAACTATGATTTCCCACTTGAATTTCAATAAATAACAAATGAAGAAAGATAAAATCAACGATAGAAAGGATGCTATGTATGAGACACCGATATTGTTAAGTCGACGTGTCCTCATCATCGGCGCCATCTTTAGAAACGATTTCGAGCGCATAGTGCGAGCCCGAAAGCTCGTACGTACTACTTTTATTTTGTTCTATTTCGAAACGTGAAAATTACTGGCGCGCTCCCGATGCCACGGAACGAGCGTTCACGGAGCATGGCGCCATTCTTGACATATCGCGCCGATGGCACCCGCTGCCGAACGAAGCGGAAAGTGGCTAATGTGGGGTCACGATGAGACTGATTATCAACACGGCGCCTGGTTAAAACAATGTAACCAATGAAAGGAACATACGAACAAATCAATTTAAATCGTAGATACTTATAAGACAGATCTTATAGCAATTTTTTAAACATTTCTCAATTGTTTTTCTTTTGATAAAATCCATCTATACTTTTGAATATTTTTATCTCGTTTTTACGAAAAGATCTCCCGGTGTTAATAATAACAGCAACAGTTTGAATAAAAACAAAATGAGAGAGAGAGAGAGAGAGAGAGAGAGAGAGAGAGAGAGAGAGAGAGAGAGAGAGATAGAGAGAGATAAAAGACTGGACATGATTACACGTTATTAATTTCCTGTCCTCGCACGTTCCGCGGAGGTTTCTCGAGCTTTGACACAACACAAAGAGAGAAAATTGTAGTTTTCTCCGCTAGCCGCGTTTGAACCCTCGCCCGGCGCCGATGTCAACGCTCCAAATTCCAAGCTAACATAAGCGAGAACGAGAGAGTGATCATCGTCGTTCTTCGAACCGACCACTCACGATTCCGCTACAATTCATCTTTCGCAAAGCGCAAAGACATTTCACGCTATTCTTGGGCCGTGCTAATCTTTTTCAGTAACTCGACGGCCCAATGAACCGGGACGTAGTAGGCCGTCCCTGTCAGAATGACCAATCATCGTCGAAGAAGTTTCAACCTGTTTATCTCTCCAAAAAACGGCGTAGAATTCTGTAAGTATCATTCGACCAGAGATTCGACTTTGATATGTACCTATTATTTATAAAATCGCATTTAAAGATCTTTATTGACGCATGACACGAAAATAAATATAAAAAGGATCTTTCCGTATTCTCGTATGTCATTTTTCTCGCTTAACATCAGCGAGCATTATTCGTTCCTCATAGTTATTAGCATCTCTGGCGTCAGTCCTTACGAGATTTCGCATTACTGATTATTCAAAGTGACGCGACGGAGCTAAGGTATTCCTCGGGAGACTACAGACTCGGTCGTCTAACTTTCGAAAACTTGAAAATTCGATCGAGGATGACAATGAACGATATTAACTCGTATGATCGTATGAACGTAGTTGAATGACTTGTCTAATAATATAAAAATATTATATTCTAGCTATAACGAAAACGGATCTGCGCTATTTAATTTTCCGTTTCCTTTATTAGACTATTCCTTCTCGTCAAACAAGCTTCCAGCGGAAGTTTCGAGGAATGGTTTCGTCGTGCAGCTGCGACGGCCCTGCATAATCGACAACGACAACGACGACGGCTACGACGATGGCTACGACGACGATGACGACGATGACGACGAAGACGACGA